AATATAATTAATTGTAAGTACTCTTACGAAAACAACCAGAAGGGAAAAAAGGAGAGAAAAAAAAAAAAAAAAGAAAAAAAAATCTTATACGCAATAGTACACATGACTATTCTACAATACATTTATCATCTAAAAATAATCTATATGTTATGTATTTGAACATTTAAATAATCTTTTTACTAATTACGATGTCCCGTTTCTCTTTCTCCTACCATGCTTAAAATGTTTGTAGAAATACTTTTTCATGATACAATAAAAAGAAAACAAAAAAAATTTGGAAATTTCTTAATTATTAGCTTCTTTGCAAATTAATTAAGAATGGACACTAACAATGAACATAAATTGATAAAACATACAGGATTCGGTATTTAAAACTTGGAAAAATTAAATTGGATTGGAATTAAAAAAAATTGTAAGTTACTAAAAAATATTCAAACTTTCTTTTGATGATCAGTTAGTTAATCAATGATTTACTAGTTTTAACTTTCATTACGTACCGATAATTTTTTAAATAAATTGTTGTGGCTTAAATGACCTATTAAAAAACTATCTAATTCCTTTTTTACGCTGAATTTACTAATTATTGTATATGTAATGTATTTCTTACAACATTGTCTTGTTTGATGACCCTCGATGCTAGCAAAAAAAGAGAAAAATGTATCCATTAAACACAATCAATATTATTCATAATTCGTAAGTATTTCATCAATAATAAGCTCGTTAATTCTTCTTGAATTATTTTTATCGACCTTTTTTCATACCCTCTATGATCAAAATATTAATATCAATAAAGAATTTAAGGAAATTCTAATTATTTCTTTCTCCCCTGTTACTTACATAGATTTTAAAACTTCATCGACTATCTATTGTTATGTAATCAATGAAAAATAAGCACAAAATGAAATAAACCTGTAATATTACTACAGATTTCTGGTATCTGGCAGTGTTTGGTATGTTATAATATTTTAAAACTTGTGTTACGATCTTATTACATACAAAAAAAGAAAAGAAATTTAAAAGAAGCAAAAAAAAAAAAAACTAAAAAATAAACAAAAACCCCAAAAGAAAGAAAATGAATTTAAAATGAAGCTAAAATTAAAATCAAGTAATTATATCAATTTCATCATTATCACGACCAACAAGTAATTATTTATCAACGCAAACATGAATTTTTTATTGCAAAATATCATCGAAAACCTAATGTAAAATGTTCTTCTTCTAAAGTATTTTTTTTTTTCTTTTTTTAATATTCGGTATTCATGTTTGCTGTTATATCTTTAGGAAACTTTCCATCGAATGAAATCCCACTTTTGTAGTTATCTACCCATTGTTGTCAATGTTTCTTTGAATGATTATCTTCAAATCGAATAATAATCATTTGTCTTTATATACTTTTAATGAAAAAGTCATATATATGCTGGCAGATTATTCTAAAAAGATATACTCTACATGTACAAAAGTGGAAAGATATAGATGTGGTAGTATATAACAGTAGGTAAAAGATATCGTACGATGCCATGCTGCTACATCTACCATTCACAAACTTTAGGAGAATCAAAGGATGACAGAGGCAAGCAGAAGATTTACTGCTTCCATAAAAAATGACAGAAAATTTCTACAAAATAATTATCCGTGCTATGCCGTGATCCTAACATAGATACAATACCGTAAATAAAAACGAAATAGAATAAAATTGGTTAAAAGATATGATATCTTCAATCTTACATAAGATAATGAATAGAAGTAATACGAAATATATCAAAGATATATATAAAAAAAATATCCGAGCCTTCGATTAAAAAGCTTTTACTGACAAGCACGGATAACGGATTGAAAAAAAAATTATTTTTTTTTATGAATAAATCACTAACTCATAAAGATATCAAATCCACTACAAGATAAGAGACAAAATTGAGTGCAATCGTAACTACTCTGGGGGTGTTGGTGGTGGTGGTGGTGGTGGTGGAGGAGAATTCGGGGGTGGTCCGGTTGGTAACGGAGGTGGATCATTGGATACTTGTTGAACAGGCACATTCGATTGATGAGTCGGTTGTACGACCATAATGGAAGTCTGACGAACATTGGGAGGTAAAAAGGGTGGTGGAACAGACGTATCGATGACACCGTCCGGTGTCATTATAACATTACCTACCGGATACATGGGGTACTGCTGCTGATATGATTGGTAATAATTTAAAGCAGGTTTATACATGTATCCGGTATTAGCAGTAGCAGCGGTGGCGGCGGCGGCGGTGGCAGGAGTGTATATCGAGGGCGGTGGATAATTTGCAAAGTTAGCAAAACATGAGTCAACTTGAACAACATGAACAGCCCTGTTGTAGGTATTAGCATGATTGGATGAAGGGTGTTTTGAAGGATGATGGACATTGGTTTGATTATAGGGAGTATCTTGCTGATAGTAGCTGTCTCGTTTACCAGCTATACCAAAATTGCCAGCCGATCTTGGTGGTGGCCCACCCTTGACATACTGGCGGCCGCCCCTACCACCTCCACGTACCTTGTTATTGCTGCCTGAACTATAGTGCCTGCCATTCTGCCTTTCTCCGGAACGGTATTGACCGTGACCACCGGCAACCATTGATGAAACCTGCTGTGACTGTTGTTGTTGTTGTTGCTGTTGTTGTTGTTGCTGTTGTTGATGGTGGTGGTAGTGATGATAGTGCTGTTGTTTTTTTGCTGATTGAAGCACGTTTGATGCGCTCTCATTGGCATCGGTCCTTTCTCTTTTCCGACTTTCACCAGAATAGTCCGGCACACTACCAATTGTCGAGGCGCTTGTCGTCGTTACTGGTGCACTACCCGTCGAACTTCTCCAGATTGCGTCCGTTCGTATTTTCATTTTTAACGGTGCTTGTGGCACTGGTTGAGCTTGTGTACCTGGTATACTTTCAGCACTCTTCAGTCGATCTTTCAAAATTTTTAATTTCAAGCCTGTACCTTGAGGTGATTTGTTTTTCTCCGGTATAACAACAGTACCACCACTTGTAACAGCAGTTTCACCACTGAGATTTAACTTCTCTTTGGGTATTGTTATTTTGATAGGTGCGGCTGATAATGTCTCCTCATTTTTCTCCTTGTCTTTTTCACGATGTTTCTCCTTGTCCTTATCCTTGTGTTTATGTTTATGCTTTTCTTTGCTCTTCTCTTTATCCTTGTGTTTGTGCTTTTCCTTTTTCTTTTTCTTTTCACTTTTATGATGTTCTGTTCTCTTCTCTTCAGTCACTGCTGCCACTACTGGCTGTACCGTCGTTGTTGGTACAGTTTGAACTATTCCATCTGTATTACTCTGCACCGGAGCAGATAGAACACTGATGTCAACCGTTGAAACTACTGACGTTTCAGTCATTGACGAAGGCAGTGTCATACACTGTGTTTGTACTGCTAATTGACTATTAGGAAGTAACAATGAATGAGATGTTATGGGCTGTTGTTGTTGATGCGACTGTTGATGTTGATGCTGAATTGTCTGTGCTTGTATTTGTAATTGCATCTGTGATTGTTGTTGTGATGACTGTTGAGACTGTTGTTGCTGCTCTTGCTGAAGAACTTGCTCTTGATGTGCCTGTTGTGATGTTATTTGACTAAATTGCTGCATACCCTGCAGTAAAGATGGCAATGGAGCTAAAGGTTCTTGCAATAGAGCACTTATACTTTGAGCTGATTTCATTGGTGACAAATATTCCATTTGCACTTGCTGAGTCTCAATACCTGCATCTAACCCATTTGTAGCCATAGTAGCTATAGTACCAAAACGAGAAATCACAGATTCTGGTTCAAATGGTTTAATTAATTCCGGTGGTTGTAATTCACTAGATACCGAAGTACTTCTACCATTCGATGAAGAATTATCTCTAATTGGCTGGACAATCTCTGGTACTCTACTATGCATCTTTATGACCTCTAAATTTGATGTTTCCTCTATTTTCCCTTTCGCTTGGGATTCATTCTCACTAGAACTTATATTTCGATGTCTTTTATGAGACATCCCTGACAAATCGCTACCTGAACGCTTCATCGTCATCAAATCAGTTTGATGTAAATTTGGTGGACTCGTGAATGATGTCGCCAAATTAAGACCGGTTAATGTCTCTGGTGCACGGTCTTGTTTAGGAACTTTAACGGCCGAAGGTGGCGTTTTTTGTTTCGATTTAGGCCTCTGAGAGTGAGACTCTCGACTGGTTTGCACTTTTTCCGGGCTAAACAACGATTTGTGCTTGGTCACTGGTGTTGGCAATAAATTTTGTTGTTGATCGATCATTTCGTCATGTCGCGGTCGTTTTTCAGCTTTTGGGTCATCTATGTTATTCAAAGGCGTTAAACACGAGGATTGAGAGTTTCCATTCTTGATGGAATCTTTTAATGTTTGCGAAACACTGTAAGCAGAATGTTGACTTATCATAGACTTAGAAGATATGCTTTTCTGAGGAATTTGTGATAAAGAAGATGCAAGGGTATTTGGAGATTTTTCTTGAGTGAATGTATTTTGAGGCATAGCAGTTGACTTCATATCACTTATGAATGCACTGGTGCTTCCCTGTGGTTTATCCGGTTGACTATATTTACCATGATAAGAGGATTTTTGTATATTGACAGCATGTTGTACATCCAATGCTGGTTTTGGATACAGTAAGGGTTTTTCTATAAGTTTTCTTACTTCTTCGGATCTCTGTTCCAAAGAATCAGATTTCCGTTGTCTATCTCTTGACGAGTCAGGATATTTATTATAAACTTTCTGTTCTCCGTCTTTTTTATGATCTACAGGTTTATGCCTCGGATCATAGACCCTTTTGTCGTGTGGTTGATGTTTTCCATCGATTGTACTTAACCTCTGTAAATTGTGATTATTATTACTGAGATTGTCTTGTAATGTAGCAATGTCAGATCTGTGTGATGTATTATCTGGTAAAGCATTGTCTACATTTACATCTTTTGTTTGATGTAGAATATGACCGTGAGAGTGCACTGAACTATTAGTATTTGAACTACTGCTAGAATTGTATTCCCTTGCTATCCTCTGTCTACTAGGATCGCGATTAGATTCTCGTGGTTGGTTGCCGGTAGAATGTCTTTGCTGTACTGGTTGATTAACTTTTATCTCTTGTCTATGATGATGATTATGATGCAATGTAGATTTTTGCCCTGGTGGCACGGAATGCTTATTAGGCATGCTGGTTCCAGGCACAGGTTTATGATGGTGTGAAGAATGATGCTTATTAATGTCAACTGCATGACTTTGACTACTCGTAGATGGAGTTGGTGCCTTTTCTCTCTCTAAACGTTCACGTTCTTTTTTCTCTTTATATTCACGGTAATCAACAGGTGGTCTGGCATTTGTTGAAGGAAGTTGTCTCCTTTCCTCTTGTCTTTCGGAATGATGCGGCCGATTAGAATGAAATGTTGGTCCTCCTTCAGCCGCAGATGCTGGAGATTGAACTTTTCGTGGTTCGGCATCCTATAAAAACATCAAATATTTTTTATTGAAATATATTCCATTGAAAAGAACACATTTGTAAAATAGCATAAAATTTAAACGAAAATAATATCCTTCTTTCATTTACAAAAATAAATCATCGTATAGAAATACTTACAAATAATGAATTATTAGATACATTTTGATGATTTATACTCGGGCTTTGATTAGCGGAAATGCTCATAATTTTTCTTTTCAATCTTGATGGACATTTATCAAATATATGTAGAAATTCTGCAGTAAGTTGTTGGAGCAGATCTGAAGTAACAGTTTTATCAACGTACCAGAACCAATGCCTCCCTTCATTACTTTGAGGTATCTGTAATAAAAGAAATACAGATAATAATATATCTCACATTTTTCCTTCGTTATATAAAAACAAAGTACAGTTATTTCATATGCAAATAGATAGCTAAAGTAAAACAATGTAAAAATGTATATATATTACCTCCCAATTGGACCATTTGCATGCTAAATGAATGCAGAAACAGGCGACTACTGTAGGTTTGTATTGCAGACACATGGTTGTTAAATGTAAGCTAAAAAAAATAATAATGCTAATTAATTTTCAATAATTTTATTATTATAAAAAATACTTTTCAAATAAAATGTCATGTCATGTACTAAAAAACTATGTTAAAAAGTAAAAATAACTTGGAACCATATTATAACATAATTAACTTATTTAAAAATCATACATTTTATTTGAAAGTTATTTCTATTTGAAACAAACTCTACTGAGTCAGAATAAATAATTATATCATAATATTACATTTTTTTGCATTTTTGTTTATGCTCTATATAATAATATCTTATATAAGTAAAACTGCCATATAACATGATACAATATCACATGTGTGCTATAAGAGTACAATGATTTAAAAAATAAAATGTATTATTATCATTTAATCTTTAGATTTCCTCAAATGTCAAGTTACATGTAATTATAGTTTCTACCAAAGTCATTTCTAAACATTTCTACAATAATTAATTTACCTTCGTGTCAAAAAATCCATGTACGTACTTCATAATATATATAAAACACGTTTTGAATAATTAAATTCTATTTAAAATCAGACCTTTTTTCTCCCGTCAAACAACAATTCCACTTAAAGATACTACTTGTATGTAAAAGGAAATGTACATATGTATGGAGTTTAATTAAATAAAAATTATATAGATATTTTTATTATTTTTATCAACTATCAGTTATTGATTTCCAAATATGTTCATCTCACTTTTAATATTATAATAGATAGAGTAATCATGAAAGTGGTTATTGTTGACGAACTTGACATGGAAATACACTTTCTATCAATAAATATTTAATTGATAAAAAGAGAAAAGAAATATATAAACCTGTTAGATGCCATAAAATAGGACGTCTGAGCTAGATCTTTGCTTGCTGAAAAATAATAATCATTTATTAATAAAATACAAATCAACATAAAAATATAATTTACCAATAAACATAAACGTGAACATACCCTTGACAAGTTGACAACATCGAACAACATGTGTGTGAGGATGATCAATAGCAACATCAAACCCTAATGTTTGTAACAGGACATTTTCATTGAATACCAAATCTTGAGCTTGTTCAAGGTATTGCTGCAATAAAATTATACTTGTGAATAAGTGGAAAGTAAAAAATAAAAAAAGGATATTAAAAATGAATGTAATAAGATTGTTACAAAGAGAATGACGATTTAACGAACATGTTACTATTTATATTTGGATAACAAATTTAAATACCAACCTCAGATCTATCGGGTGGCTGATCGTTACAAAGAGAATGACGATTTAACGAATACGTTACTACTTATATTTGGATAACAAATTTGAATACCAACCTCAGATCTATCAGGTGGCTGTTCTCGGTGTAAGCACATGTATGCCATTTTGATGACATGTTCTAGTTTGCGTGGTTGTTCTTCAACTTTCGCTGCTAAAAACAGGGCTGCTGCAGCAATGGAATTTCTGTGAAACTGTGATAGCGAATGGAATACGTAAAACCTGTGCATATAAACTATTGCAGTGTTGATGCATAGTTGTGTGCTATATATCTAAAGTTAAGAAAAATTATGTTTTCCGTAATGCCTATTTATAAACTCATCACTTTTCATTAATTTTAATAAAAAAAAAAAACATTGTATCTGATAAGTATCAGAGTCTTAACATGTAGTACCAACCAAAACTATATAAGTGCATATATATATATACGAGTATATAAATAATAATAGTAAAAGAAGTTGCGAGAAAGATTGTATCAAATTACTAAGCTTCTATAGCAAATCAATGAAAGTGAAAAAATCTTTGACTTTATCAAATTTATATCTAATTGTATACATTGCTAATATTAAGCACTTAAATAACGTTATATTTTATAAATATAGCAGAAAATAAAATAATATATCCAAAATACTAATATGATAAAAAAATTTTTAAAGGATTCGATACGATAACATCTTAAAAAAATAAATGATGCCATTGATATTTACTTTTTATATATTTAAAAGGATAGTTTAAACCCCAGAAACTATGGAATTAATATTATATATAGATTATTGTATTATACTAAATCATAACGCTAAGAAATACAATATATTCGTTTATATTAAGAATAATTTATTTAATCTATATATGTATATATATATATGTATGTAATATATATACATATATATATTACATTTTTAATATTTCAAATTATTTCAGTATAATAATGAAATTAATTTTCTATTTAATCTATTATATAGATCTAACAAATTATAAAAGTACTCATAAAGAAATGAAAAAATGTCTAGGTAATCGCTATTCTGAATGTTTAGAACTTCTTCAATCTTTTATTACGTACAGGTTTGATTTCATCGATAAAAAATTTTCTAAGAAGTAAACAGCAATATAATAAACATTTCAAAAACTTATTAAAATGCATTTACTGTTTTATATTTTATAAAAATTAGAAAATAATACAGTTACTTTAAAATGTAAATACAAAACTGTAGCATAAATATTTAATTTGATACTATCAGCTCGTTTACATCGAATGTTAATACAATACATTTACTTAAGAGTGAAACAATAAGTATAGTAAGTTATACGATACAAAACTGAAATTTTGTTCTACTTAATAACGATATATAAACAAAGAATTGTTATAAAATATGACGCTGTGTTTAATCCATTGTACCAATCTAAGAAAAAACTTAATGCAAACTATTTCCGACTTAGAATGATTCTATGAAGAAAGTGTTAGTATAAGTATTCAGAAATTGGTAAAAATATTTAGAGTACTGCGCTCAAATTTATTTTCAAAGTAAAATATTCATATCGTTATCATTTTTCCTATTGTATAGTTTAAGATTAAGACAAATTTGATCGTTCTTTGAGACTTGTAGTTATACTTCTTCGTAGAATTAAATATTCCTTAATCTTTTTCAATAAATCATATGAATGTAATCTAAAAAGAATCTATCTCTATAGCATAGAAATTTCATCGACATGTAAGACAAATAATAGTATAAGATTGAACGATTAGCAATGGTGATATTTCTATCGAAGAAACATTAATTAGCATTAACTTTAATGATAACAATAAAATAAATAAAGAAACTATTAGATGATTAAACATAGACGCTTAAGAAAGTTAGCTCGATTGAATGGTAAAAGGAACCGATAAATCCTGCTCGCAATCCTTCTTGCATCTTAAAGACAAGTGTAAAACAGCAGCTGTGGTAGAATAGAATTAAAAAGTCCATACTTGCATAAGGATAAAACAGCAAATACATAATCATTGGTTGGTACTACTGTTAAACTTGGTCCAGGACAAACAATGTAATCTCAACGTGGCCTTGTTTCATGCCGTTGCTTTTAATTTCGCATGATCGTTGAGAAAACTCGATGATATAACCAATGTTGTATTAACAACAATCACGACAAGACTGATATTCCGCGCATATCAAGAAAGAGAAGAAAAACAAAATAAATATCTCGCGATAGGCAAAAAATTTCAATATGGATAAACAAGGCAAAGAAGAGACTAGGATGCGTGACCTCCGTACTCTCGCACGTCACACACATGTTTATAACACGTCGCATTTCACGAGTTCGAGGGAATTCGCGAGGGGGGAAAAGAAACAGTCTCGTCGCATCGAACGAAATATTCAATGAATCGACGTATCGTTAACTTTATCGCTATGAGAAATAAATAAATCGATAAAAAAGATAAACTAAGATTCGTGGAGTAGACAAAATATAGGGAAAAGGGTATAAGATGTATATAAACCGATAGAACAAAACTACACGCATAAGAGAAGAGAGGAGGTGCGGAGTCGAGGGGGCAAAGGAAAAAGCACGCAATCATTTTTCTATAAAGGATACACAACGAGTCGCTGGCCCATGTCCTGGATGAAATTGGCGGCCTGCTGCCTGTAACTTAGTTCTTTATCTGCATCGATGCCGCATCTTCTGCTCGGCGTGTTTGTTAGCTGTTCTTTCGTAAAATACCATTTTTCGTCAGCCGCCATTTATATGTACACACAACTCGGGCACTAAAGCAATGCAGCTGACTTCACGTCGTTAGCTTAGTCGCGCGTGGTGGACGACCCAATGGCGTCAAATTCTGCGATTTTTAGGTTGTATATCGAAAGTCGAATTAAGATACGTGTCCAGCTTCACGTTACTTAAAACGAATCGCGAGAAATCACACGCGCATAGGCGCCAAAACACGGTTCGAATGTTCTAATATTTCCACATGTTCACTCTTTGAATACTTGCACTATATTACTCACCAAATCATTTACTACTATCCCCACCCCCCCAACACCACACTATTCCACGTTATCACTTTATGCCTTCGAAGAGATAAACAAATATTTTGATTCTTCTAATTTAGAAAGTATATATTTAATTTACTTTTAATAACGTACCGTCAATTACACATCTTAATAAAACATGGTTAACCGTTCGTGATTTTATTCGTCGTTACAAATCTCTTCTTCCGTTTCACTGGAAAATGTATTCAATTCGAACACTTTTTCTATCATACCGTCGAATGTGGATCTTTATACGATAATATTCCGATGTTCTTATTTCCTTTTGAATGTTTAATGGAAATTAATGTTCGATATATTCCATCGACGATGTTCTAATCTTCTTTGGAATAAGAAAAGTAAGTAAGTCTTCACAAATTGTGTGTGATTCCGTTGATAGAACTTACTCGAACTCTGCTACAAACGAAATGAATCTCCTACTTCCGTCTACGGGTAAAGAAATACTACTATGGAGGTAGAATTCTTTCCGTAGAATTGTGAAAAAGAATATTGTATTTTTAAGAAAATTTTTTAACCATGACGGCAGATAGTTTTGAATAGCTTACTGAGACAACAATTTTCTATATACCATTTGAGAACCATTATTCGGCCCTTCCTTTCAAGCGCATTTTGAAACATATGTTTCGAAATAATGGAAATTCTCTGAATCATTCCTAGATAAAAATGTATTCATATAAACTGTGACCTGAACTGAGCCATTCATATAAACTAGAAACTGACCTGAGCTATTCGTAGGGTTTATTTTTCAATCCTATTGTTATTTTTCAATACATTTTATTCCTTGGAAAGATTGCCTATAGTTTTTAGCATTCCAAACCCCTAGAATCCCTTATTTTCAAAAGAAACTTTCACTTCGGTCCTCGTTCGTTCGTTTGTTTGGAAATTTTTTTCTTCAGGAATTTGATTTCTTCTTAGTTTAATTCTTAATATTCCAGTTATTTTATAAAAAAATCGTTACCTTCGGCCGTCAGCCATTTGTTTCTTCAAAAGCTTATTTTCTTTTGAATAAAATATAGCGTTCCTTTCAAGAAATACGCAGGGAAAGAGAGGAAGATAGAGATAACCTCGTAGCATGGCTTTCCAAACACATTCTTTTAACTGCAACGTTGAGGAAAATATTAGCGTGACAACCTATTCCGTAATAGTGTAATATATTGACGGTATGTTTTTGTATAATTATTATTGATAATAATTACCGTAGAAAAAACGATCGACTTAAAAATTTGCCTCAATTTATTCTTTCACGACCGCGTGGATTATCTAACCACCTGGATGTGTCAACACCCAGCTATTCGATCAAGAAATCTTATAGCAGCCAACTTCACGGCACGAAAATGTTCTCTTATATTATTTTCTCTTGAACTTTGTACTTTTTTCTTAATTATGTTTTTATTTACTTGTTTCTATTATTTTCCCTTAAATTTGTCAACAACTCTTCTTTATTCGTTTTTATTTCTAAGATAGATCGTAAACATACAATAAACGTCGCATAGTTTCGTGTGTTAGTAGTTATTCGAATTCCCGGAGATGACGTCATTTCTGATATGAAAAGTAAATAGTTGTATAGATGAATACAATCCTTATCGCAAAGTCCATCTATTGTGTTCTGATAAACATTGTAATTATAAATCTATTAAGATTTTTGAACGATGACTCATCTCAATGACCAATACGATTGTTTGTGTTACAAAATAAACTCTACTTTGAACTCGGAAAATAATAATCAAATCGTTAGTATTACCGTTGACTTTCTCTCTTACGAAAGTCCACTTTGACCAAGATAAGCGTGGGACAAAACGGAATTTTTTCTGAAGTATTTCGATTTACCGTTTAATTGGTGCTTCAATATCATCGTGAAAAATATTTGTTTATTGTATCATTCTATAAATATTTGTGTGTAGCATCAGTGAAATTTCATTAAACACTTTCTACAAAATGGCGATGAATTCTCACACCGAACGTATGTATTTGTCGAACATTTATTATCAATTTTTTTCATTCAAATTATTTTTGAAAAGTATCTCTTATATTATGCTCATATAACTAAGAGGTTCAGAAATGCAATATTTTATATCATAAAATTTATCGTTTATGCACATTTTCTATATATTTCTACCTAGCTTGTATGTTATACACCATCTTTATATTGCGTTATGGCGCTAAATTTGAATTCTGTATTGAAATAAAAAAAGTATGAATGAAACTAAAAAAATTATTGAAAGATTAATGCAAAGATTAATTAAAGATTCTTTTTTACAAATAGAATCTATTGTTCATTGAAATGTTTTCAGAGCGAGTTATGTTTCGAATTCCAAAGTCTACAATGTCTTCTTCAACAACAAAGCCATCTACTAAAACACGTAAATGTTTGTATGGATCGTTTGAATGTTTACAACCGTGTCATGAAGGATATTCATACTGTTTGAAGCATATTCTTGAAGATCCAAATGCTCCTTTTAAACAATGCTCTTTCATTTATAATTCTAATGGAAGAAAATGTCAAAATCCGGCACCAAAACTTGATAAAAGAGATATTTCGTAAGTTTGTTTTGTATATACTAGTTCTATTAATAAAAGCTCATATTATGTTCATCGTAGATTAAGAAAAATATTGATAAACAAAACTTTTTTTCATTAGTTATTGCATGGAACATACTAGGAAAGCACAAATTGCCCGCATTAAGTCGACATCACGTCATTCATTACCACAAACACCTGAAATATTGCTCCTAAATTTGAGCCACTATGTGAAGCCAGCTGACTCGAGTACAGAAGATACAGAAGATGAAGAAAATAAAGTTAAAGCATTAGATCCCTTTAGTAAGTATTTTCATGACTTAATTCTTTGCACTCAAAGATTTTTTTACTCGTATTATTAGCTATAATATACAATATTTTCCTAAAAAGATTTAATTTATAATTTCTTAGAAGAATAAATTAAGTTATTATGATTTGTCATTATGTTATGAACTGGAAATTATTTGTATTTGTGCAAACTTCGTTCTTTGCATTGAAATAATTAATCGTATGCATGTCTTATAAACTAGATTTAATCTAATACATAATATATAGATATCGAACTTTTATTTTTAGACGAAATCGACGCTTATAGAGTAAACGCAAGTGGGTGTGATATTTTAGATTATGCTAGCTCCTCCGATAGTGACGTTGAACCTACAACAGTAAGTGATACTTTAAAAAATGCTTGTCTCGATGACAGCGATAATGAAAGTTTACATAGCCCACAGGAAGATCCATTGAAGTAAGTTTATGTTGGTATGTTTAAGGATCAATCTCTTTACAAGAAGATCTATTATATTATGCACGCTAGCATGCTTCAGCTTGTGCCATCACCTATCGATTTATATATTTTACTGTTAAAATGTGAAATATATTAATTCATGAAATAACTATACTCACCTGTTAAAACACTTAGTTATTTCGTAAATTAATTGAATTTAACACTTGCACGGTAACACGTATATATATCTAATAGATTAAACATCTAAATTTATTTTTTATATCATCTTTTTTAAACTATAGTTAATTACTTGTATTTTTGTTGACTTCTATCATTTCCTGGTAGTAGCTTTATGCAAAGAATAAGATACTATCTACGTGTTAAATTATTAGTATTCATTTTTTAAGGCATGCTGGGATATTTACTGCAGAGGAAGTTATCTATATTGCTAGAGAAAAATTAATACGCCTTCAGTCTCTTTACATTGAACAATTTAGGAGATTACAATATATATTGAGAGAAAAGAGACGTAAATATTTACATGCTTTGAAAAAAGAAAAAGAAACTGTATGTAAGTAAATGAAACAATGAAAGTTTTGTAAAGCTTTAAACAGATAGAAAATATACAACAATAAAAAGTTAAATGAAATATTAATTACCTATACAGGTAGTATACATGATCAACCTAAGAAAACGGCTAAGGAAAAGAAGATTTATGAGAAATTGAAAGCATTAAATCGATATCATAGACGTAGCGGCGTAGAAGCTGTACTTTATAGAAAATCTGTAGAGCGCCGAGCACAGGTAAATCAAATATTTTTAATAAAGATAAAATTTCGTAAAGTTAATTATAAATGTTAATATTTTAGGTATCAGAGGGACCAACCCAAAAGCAACCGAATATATCCAAATGCATATTTACAGAAGGCGGTGTAAAATGTGGCGAAAGAACACTGCCTTCTGCTAAACACTGTCGTAAACACATTCTTAAAGTATTATTTTAATCTTAACTTCATTTAACAAATCATAGAGTTGCAATAATAAAATGATGATAAAAGAATCATTTACGTTTCTTTTTCAGGATCAACATCAAGTTCTATTCAAAGCTTGCGGCGCGGTGCACGCCGATATTGAATGTCATGAGCCTATACCAGTCATATATGATTCTAATTGTATATTCCATATGAATTTACCGCCGCAATGTAAATTAGAGCCGATGAAAGTAAGCTGATACTATAAATTAATATTAATACTCTCTAGCAATGTATTTATTATAGTTTATATTTTTATCCTAAAGGATATTTTTCTTATTAGTTCGAAGAAGAAAAATCCACCACACAAGAACTTTCAATGATTGATAATCAATCCATGGAAATTGATGTAGTTGGGGAAACTCAAGAAATAGATCCAGACGACGATATGGCTGGATTAATGAGAGAAATGAACGATACTAGTCATATAAAACCATCGTTCAATGAAAGTTTGAATAGCGAAGCTAGTACTGATACAGCATTCAGTTTATCAGCTCAAATGAGTGATAGGGATGAACTAGTTTCCATGTGACATGATTTTTTATATTAATTCGAGGTCATTATTGTATCATATAACATTCATATTAAGCATATATTTTGGTTTTACCCTTTATAATTAATGGCATAACAATTTGATTTATTTAAAAGCGAACAAGCTCTTACGTTTCAACTTAAATCATTGATTTTATTAGCAGCAAATGTTGTTTACATTCACTACTAATTTTGTACAGATTTCTATCGATAAGTATAATTTTAATAAGTGTATATATAATTAATAAATATGATAATAAATTATTACAAATGTGTATTACAAGTTAAATTTAATTTTAGCTCTGGTATTTAATCTCAATTTCGATTTTTGTATAAGACGTAAAAGAAAGAAAGTACCTTTCTTTATCAATATATTTGTTTTGCGTGTTATCTGTGAAATGTGAGTATATTATATATTCATTTATTACTTATATATATATACACACATACACGTACACTGATTTAGATACGTTATCTATCTTTATATATATATATATATAAGTGATGTTACAAATTATTAAATAATTTTACCATAAAACTCTTGTTGAAGCTCTAATTTGTTTAATTAATTGTTTGCATATATTCAAACAGATCGCTTTATAAAACGATTAGGACAATTCTATGAAAAGTACTATACATTATCGATGAAACTTTCATATTTCTCTTTATAAATTTGTATCAAACTCATATACGAATACATCTATATATTTAATTTATTATTGATACTATCAAATTATTAAAATAATCATTTGGTTAGATGAAAATTATTTTTGATAAATAAATATTTGAAATATATATCGTTAATTGAATGTTTAATAAAAGAATTCTGTTCTTTTTTTTATAAAACAAAGATATCAATAATATTAGTCAAAAATCATATTTGTGAAAGTAAAGTACAAAGACATAAGTTTACACGCATGCATATTTTATATACAAATAGTACTATACAATAGAAGGTAGTATCACAGCAATTATGACCGCGTACAATATGTGCTTAAATTTATTTAATTACTAAACCTTACAGCGTTGTTGATAGATACATGTGATGTGTGACATTTTTTTCAATGGTATACATGTTCATAAAGGAGTGATGAACTGTAAGTGAGAAATTTCTATGTTATACATGTGTATCATTGAAATTTTCATTTATAACTTTATGACAGTTATGCATTATACTAGGTGGTAATTATATTAAATAATATTGTAGCACACATTTATATGCCCTCTCATATAATAAATTAAAATAAAATATGTTTAATATCTTAATAACTTTTAATTATAATCTCATATCGAAAGCTCTTTCAAAAATTGTTTCTACACTTTTTATTGGTGGGACATTTTTTTTTTTATCAAAGTAACAAAAAAAAAGTATAGTTTAAAAGTAAATATTAAATATACAGTAAGATATATTAAGTCTATTTTTTAAACATTTAAATTGATATCACTACAACAGGCTTTTCTTGTTTCGGATGATTAATAGCCCGCAGGTATATAAATAATCATAGCTAGCTCGTTTTCTTTTCTTATTTCTATAAAGATTGATGATAATTATTCGATTTTTAATATGCGATTAATATTACTACATATAAAATTCTGTTTTCTTTGTTTTTCATGAAATTCAGATAAAACATGAATTTATCAAAATATTAGATTTTCAGTATCATAACTTTGAATTTATGTGATGATAGGCAAACAATGACATTATACATTTTCTAATACAGTAATTAACAGATTTGGTTTCTTTCCTCTCGGTACATTTGCGCAAAAACTTAATAAATAAATGCAATCTAGGATGGTATCTTGGAAAAGTAAAAATAATATTTTTATTCGTTTTACTTGATCGTTTTTTCATTTGATTATTTGTGCTACTATTCTTGATCTATCTCACGGCTAAAGTTAATTTTTATTAGTTAAAGCCAGTTTACATGTAAAAATAAAAAATATGCAAACAATGGTATATGCGAGCACCGGTGTAGTGAAAAAATAAAACATTTGCTCAATACTAAAATAAAATGAAAATGATTACGTTGTAATTGAATAAATAAACGATTTAAAATAATTGCGAATATGTGCGATAAACGTGAGATTATTTTGTAATAAATTGGATATTTGGTTTGGATTTGATCCCCCCCCCCCGACGATTAGAAAAAAATTAATTCTATTCTTACTAATATCATTCGATGTTAAAAACATAATACTAAACAAAAACATTTGAAATTAGGAATTTTTAAGTATTTAAATCTTATATGAAACGCTTAAGAATTTATTGAAGTGCGAAGGTAGGCGCAATGATAAATATCCAGTATTATTGCGAGACTACAAGTAAATACAATTTGCAAACTGTATTTACTCGTTTCGTATAATTGTGTTACGTAGAAAAGATAATTTCATAGAAAATAGAAATTTATATAATATCGAATAATCTATTGATTTGAAAAGCATCAGTTGAATCATAACTTATGGTAAATTTATATGCGATTTTTGTAAATATCTATCTTATTTTTATAAATTTTTAAACTAATATCTCTCATTTAAGTGTTAGATTACTTACAAAATAATGGAAGCCACCTTAATTAAATATTTTTTATGTAATTGCTGCTATAGCTTCCTAATAATAATTTTTAAAAATACATAAAATGATGTTTATTTGATGGATGTTCTATTTAAAGTACATCATCTAATATCTTTTTGATAATGTTCACCAACAAATGTATTTTATTTTTTATTAATAACAGTAAATTTGTTGTATCAAAAAGAAAGATTTCGAATAGAATAAAAAGGAATTTTGTAATTAATAAGTTTGTAAAGATAAATTTAAAAGAAGCCTTTAATGTTAAATGGATCCTTACTTTAATATTAATATTTTTGCTTGTGTGCTTGTAATTTATTCACGTAACAATGGCAAGTATGAATACTAAGGCAACTTTCATTTAATATTATGTACTTAATATTAAAATTTAAATACGATTATTTTTCAAAGTATAAGCGAATGTATCATATTATTTATATAGCAGCAATTATATACAATTACTTTATTTATTATCAAAATAACAAATAAAAAAACTAAGTAATCATTATAAAGTTCTTTATCTAATCACTGAAAACAAGGTTCCATCGTATGTTCTCCGCAAAGACAGCATTTTCAATAATCAGAAGTATACTCTGAGTAATTAAATTCTGTAAGTATACTTCAAATATTGTCTCATTACATTATGTATTTAAATTAATTAAGTTTTTATCTAGTTATTCATTTACTCTCTCTTATTGTTAGTGTTGCTGCATTATCTATTTTGATATTTTCATATCTTCTGTATTATTTTATCTATACTTTAATAGTTATCGATATAACAGACTCCTTGATTATTATAAATAACGAACTTCATTGGTAAATGTGCTACAAAAATGGAAAAATATATAATTGCTTATTAAACATAAGAAATATTGGGGAACTTACCATTTTTCAAAAATACTTCCAATATATATGATTTAATCATTAAATATATTTTTAAGATTGTGTTCGTAAAGTGCAATAATTAGCATGATACCAAGACCAAATGATAATCCTAATGCTTGTAACAAGCATTGCCAGTGTGAACTACGCTCTGCAGCATGACTCGAAGACAATTCTGGAATCTACAATAAGAAATATTAATATTTTGTAGTGACAAATAAAATTTGTTATTAAGATAATATTGTAATATCGTGTGTTGAAATACTTACCATATCAACCAAAGCTATATATATAAACATACCAGCAGCTATAGAAAATATCCAACTGGTTGCTGCTGGTGTACTGCCCAATAAAACGCCAACTATCATACCAAATAAGCACAGCACCGATGACAAAAGATTATAAAAGACTGCTTGTTTAGCACTCATACCTGCCTTTAACAATACGGCAAAATCACCTGTTTATAAAAATCATATTATTATTATTTACTTAATATTTTCTTTATAATCAATCTATTGCTAATTTTTTTTCTTTCAATTTACCTAACTCGTGAGGTAATTCATGACAAAAAACAGCAATAGCCGTAGAAAATCCACCTGCAATATTAGCTGCAAAAGCTGCACCTATGGCCATACCATCTGTAAAATTATGTAGGCCATCACCCATTACCACCATCCAAGCTACGCTTGACATTGATTCTGGTGCAGAGTGTACATGACCTTAAATAATACATATATCGATCTATTATAGAATTAAGAAATGTACATGGAAATATAGTTACGATATGAAGATATTAAGATTTACTTCAACTAAATATATCTTACCATGCGAGTGTGTATGGCCATGATGTTTAGTCTCGTGCTCGCGTATAATAACGGTATAACTTTCAGATTCGTTTAAAGGTATATCAGCACCATCCGCATTCTTTTTTGCATTATTTACAATGGAGTCATCCAATCTCCAATCGTCGGTTGTTTTTTTCTCTGCATCACTTGTCATCATTTTCGATACAGAATTACAATTTTCTGTTAATGGTTTTTCTTCTTCGATGGCAGGTGGTTTATCTTCCTTGTTTTGTCGATTATGATGATTATCTGTAAAAGAATTTTTTGTAAAATATTGTTCCAAGTATCTAGATGGAGATTTAATTTTTTATTTAAATTATCAAAAAAACGTGCCATGCGTTTCTGCTGTGATTTCTCCATAACAATAGGGATACGAAGAATATTTATGTTTACAAAGTTTTTCCCCAACAACATTACTGTTAGGACCATCAGATTCTCTCTTAACTCTCACACGTGATGGTAACTAAAAATAAACATTCTATTAGATGTGGTCATTTTAAAAATTCTTTTTTTATATAACTACTACTAAAAAATCTTTGTTGTATTATCAATTGATGTTATTATATTTACTTTGTTGCGACGTTGACGATGCTTTCTCCATTCTGCTAACACTGTTAAAGCTTTCTCAGTGAAAAAAAACAGCACTAGACCAATCATAGCTGTAAAACCTTTCCACATATTTAGATTATGTTGTTCTTCGTGATTTAATACAAAATTATTTTCATGATCATGACCATGTTCATGATTATGTGCCATTGGCGACATCATCGCCTGATAAATAATTTCAATAATTATTTTTCATTTTTACATCGCTATAAGAATTTAGATTTTAATTTGTTTAAGTCAAAGGAACAATGAGAACTTACGTGTGGTAATAAATGTATAAGAGCATCACCGCATAATGTTCCCACAGCGAGAGCAACTAAGAATTGTAATAATTGATGATAGTAAACTTTCCCCATTACTGGTATTACTGCTACACCAAGCAGACCACAAAGACTAATAATTAAAATGCTAATTGTCGAATACAACCACACTAAAAAATGAAAAAATATATTTAAAATCACAACATATAAAATGAAAAATGTTTCCTTAATCAGAATTCAAATGATTAATATAATAAGACATCGTATATGTACCCTGAAACATGTTACGATTTAATTCTTCTGGATGATAATCAGTATCATCCGTAATAGTTTTATAACTTTCTGGTACTAGAACGCATCCAGTTCTTTCTAAACTTGATTCTCCTGCCAACTGATAAAGGAGAACTGGACAAACACGTTCAAAAAGCCAGCTCGGTATTGTCGAGTCATTGTTTTTTGAATTATATGGGATACCTTGTGCAACCATATTTAGCAACTCTTTACTGTTTAAACACTGAAATCATTTAATCATACATTGTTTTCATACAATATAATATTTATGAAGATGTCAATTACATGCAATATAGCATAATGATATTCTATAACAAATGATTAATATCATAATATATTTACCCGTTCTTTAATAATTCCACTTTTATCTTGTAGGCCATTATGTCGCAAAGCTTTACTGTCTATAATATATTTGAAATAAAATAAATTAATAAAGTAGTATTAGAAAACAAAATGTGTTGTTTATTAACTCATTGTCAGTAAAAAAAGATGATCTGGTAAATTTAAGATATAGTATGATATGAAATTACACAAACGTACGATAATATATTATGACTAGAATTTTGCTGACATTAGAAAAAAGTATTAAATTTTGTTTGTGTATCATATATCAAGTAACAAACATTGTTCTGCATTTAAATAACTCTAATCTGCTAATATTATTTTCAAAATATTATAATTATTATTACTTGTCTATATTTTATAGTTTTTCTTATGTAGCTCAATTTAAGTCTTATAGTGAATATATTTCGGCAAAGATCTAACAGGCAGGTCAATGAAATCAATAAGTGGCTTATTAGGTCAATTGGACATATATTCAAATTATTAAACCAAGTCATCATGAAATAAGCATTTGTAAGCTTAATCAAGATCATTGTTATCGTCAATATATATAGATCACATATATATAAAGTATATACACCAAATTACAGTTATATTTAGGTGGACATTCAAACTATGTTATTATTATGATGGACAGGTTTATTGTCATAGTGATTGGCTATTAATTAAAATGAATATCCAATTTAATCTTGGAACCGACTGACTAACTACTTTCTCAAAAACTATCCTTATTTTTTTTCTTTTTATAATTATTGTAACTTGTATTATTTTGCAATACTCACCCAATTGATTTTCAGACTGATTGATGTCCACATTATGGCCTTCTGATTTCGTAGTATCAGTCAGAAGAGTTAATAAACCTAATTTTCTTAACATTGTTTCGAAACCCTCCATTTTCATATCTTTACCATCACCATAGGCCTCAAAGATTTTTTTCATGTGATTCTTCCCAACCGCATCTATATTCCTTTTTTTTCTAATCCTAGAATCTTTGCTATGATCATTATTAAAATATGTGGATCCCTGTTTTTGACGAACCGGTTCAATTTGTCCGAGTCTTTCTAAAATCTCCGAAGATTTCTTTTCAGAATAAGATTTATCAGCTACTGGCATAGCTTTACTAATTCCATATTCGCTTTCATTAATTTTTTGAGTATTAATAGGCTTTTTAATGCTGTCTTTTTTTCTATCTGATGTATTATATCTTATCTTAAAATAATCCTTAAGTTGCAACAATTGTTTAGATCTTGATTTAGATATCGACAATTGACTGGTAGAATTCGGTATATTTTCATAATTTACAATGTCATGGGATGTCGTTTCATCTGTTATTTGGAAAATGGTATGTGCAGAGCATGGAACATGTGCAGCACATAACACGCATACTACGCATACAGTAACAAAGTGATGAGACATATTGAAGTATCTTCAAAGATATTCTGAAAAGGAATAAAAATATGTAATAATATAGTTATATTGCGAAAAAACAGATTTAACTTTTGGAAATATTTACAATAAATACTTTTAGAGAAATATCCGAGAAAGTGTGAAATTAGATATTCTAACGAATAATATAAAGATTATTTACAAGCATTGTCTGAAAGATTGTATTAAAAGAAAATAACGTGAAGTATCTATCTAGATCAATAAGATATGTACTAAAACAAATAACGCACAAAGATATAAAATTATTTAGTATGTTGCAAAAAATACTTTTATTTAAATTCTCCTTGTTTGTTACTCTCTTTAAATATTGATTGAAGAAGTCTATAAGTTAGTAATCGAGCAAATAGCATAAACAAATATATTTTTGCGGTCAAGGTAAAAACAATTAAGGAAAAATGATGATGCTGCTGTTGCTGGTTAAATCTAAATTTGAATAATGATTAATCTCAAATTAAATATGAGAAAATCTAATAACAGTAAGAGAAATGTAATACAAAACCGAAATGGTAAGCTCAAAAACAAATCTCTGTAATTAAAAATTTTTATTTACAAAAATTCGTGTACAGGCCAGATTATGTAACAAACATAAGAGAGAGAAATTATATAGTAAATTTATAAAATAAATGTAATGAAAGCCATTATTAAAACAAGAGAACAATAATCATGCTTCAATAAAAATCATTTGTCTCTTAAAAAGCAATCATTTTCACATTTCTTTAAATAAAAAACATAAATTTTTTAATGTTTTTATTATAAAAAAAAAGAGGAAGAGAAAGAGAGAAGGAGAGAGAGAAACAATAAACAAAATAAACAAAATGATAAAAGAATGAATAAAAATGATCATTTGAAATTAAAATAATATTAGTTATCCTACTCCTAATAAAATTTGTATTAAAAATATGTTGAAAAGCGTAAATTCATGAAATAAATAAAAGATAAAATGTGTAAGAAAGTGTAAGTAATTAAAAGTTTAAGGAAAGTATAAACAATGGGCATTTAATTTTCAACCGGTATGGTTCATTCAAGAATGACGGTATTTGAATAAATATAGTTAATTAGAAAAGAGTATAAGATAGACGAGCAAAAGAACTCTAAGTGTATGGCATGGGAATAAAAGACTACAGTACATTGGCTCGTAATGTAATGAAAGTAAAGGATAACAATGATAAAGATAAGAGAAATGAAAAAAAATGCGTAGGTTGACAAAAGGCGTTTTCATCGTCGCACCGAAATAGTCGCTGAGTTCGGATGAACGTTCGCTCGCTCGGTTGGTTGATTGGTTAGTTCATCAAAAATTGTATTTTTAGCTGTCAAAAAAGGCGCATGGAAAGATAAAGAGAAAAGAGAGGAAAAGAGTCGCGCGAGCGCACTATTGCCATCTCTTTTTATCCTTCTTGTTCGAATAGAGCTCGATAAAATACCGGTACCGGCATCGACATCTGCAACAAACCAGCAACAAAGCAGCATCACGGACTTAACCGTTAAGAATTATTGAATTTAGGTTAAAATAAACGACTGTCTAACAGCTGGTTGCTTTTAAAATAGATGTGAAAAATATAGGAGCTTTGGCCAAGCGTGGGATTTCACTCACTTTAATTCCCTACTATTACTACACTACACTACTACTACACTACTACTACTACACTAGTCTCTTCATTAAACTGGAGTCGCGCGCACGAATATAATCACTTTGCGTAAGACATTAGCTCAAAGAAAATATGTCTGTTATTTGTCTTCTCGTTTGATTAATTTATTGTTAAAGTTTACCTCAACTATCCTTAGGCTGGAGACAAAATTCCCGCTACGATATAGCATATGTTAATCGTGATCGACACGCACCCTTCCCGTAACGCGCGCAAAGCTAACGGAGTCCGGAGGCGTACTAGTTTTATATATAGGATAACCAGTCGGTTAGGGCAAACACCACCACCACCACCACCACCACCACCAACTACCACTATTAACCCATCACACAAGACATTTCTTGTCTAGCACCTTTCCTTTTACTCTTTTTTCCTCTAACTCTCACTAAAATTTTGGTTTTACTTTCTATTTCTTCGATCTTCTTTTATGTTTCGTATCTAATTGAGAACAAATCTCCGAATTTTCTCAATTCGATTTATGTGCTTGAAGTCTTCGATTTGCGTTAGGATGTTGAATTGATTGTATGTGTGCGCGAGTAAGTAAAAATGCGTACACGTTAAAAGGTTACTCCTTGCGCACGCGATACAATGTTTTAAATATTATTTATTTCAAGAAAAGAAAACTTTTTAAAGATATTCATTGATTATCCGTCATCTTCTACTCGCAGTTATATTTATATTTAAAACAATCTCTTATTAGGAAGATAAATAAGGTTACCGTGCTGGACGATTGCTATTCTGCACGAACCAATAGAATCGCTTTATTCGCATATACAATTTTTAGTATTGACCAATAACCGATCATTTTCTGTTAGACCCTTCTTTGTAGATTCTTGAACTACTTTCTCATTATCTCTAAAGACAATAAAACTTCTGTTAATTATGTTTTTACATTCGAAGAATATTTGTTTATATTTATTTATTGCTTTATCTAATTATTTTTAATAAAAAAGCGCGGAAATGACATTAAGTAAAATGATTCTCAAGACACTTGTCCAAATTTATTTTATCAAAGATTTATACAGGATGTTTTACGCGATACTGCTAGCATTAGAAGCAATTCTTGGCCATAAATCTGCACACTCTTTAGCAACAGGTCCCGTAATAGCTGATCCTTTCATTTCGCCTTTATTATTAACAATAACTCCGGCATTATCTTCGAAGTATATAAATACCCCGTCCTTCCTTCTAAAAGGTTTCCGTTGCCGTATCACTACCGCAGGCATAACTGTAATTGCATTAAATAGTTGTAAAAACTTTTAACTACTACGCAAACATTCCTTACAATTCGAAATGGCTTCTTGAATATAACTATATATGAAAATGTTGAAAAAATTTATTAAAATGAATAGTCATTTATCGGAAAGCTTACCCTTCTTCCTGAGTTCAGGTTTGCCTTTTTTCACAGTAGCGACAATCATATCGCCTGATCCAGCTGCTGGTAAACGATTCAATCTACCCTTTATTCCTTGAACTGCTATAACGTACAGGTTTTTGGCACCTACAATCAAACTTACAATAAAGACTCTACGCTTAAAATTCTTAAATCAATTTATTTAAATTACTTCATTTTTAACACCATCAATATTACAAAATGATAAATGAAGACCAGTTCCTTGTGAATAAATTTTTACAAACATAAAAATTGCTATATTTTTGTTCAAATAACAAATTTAGCTTACGCAAAATTCGGAACGTTGTATTGGATATACTCAATAATAATAGCAATAATTTACCATGTGTTGCAAACGATAGATGCATACGACCAAATTAGGAGGTTATGATATGTAACTTATAAATGAATTATTTATAACATACCGGTATTGTCGGCACAGTTGATGACAGCACCAACTGGCAAACCCAGTGATATCCTAAATTTAGCTCCCGCTGAACCACCTCGACCTTGAAGAATAAAAATTTCATATTAAATTTGGACATTAATAAACAATTACACGACACTCGTTCCTTCCATGTAAGACCTATTTTCTTTCACTAAAATACAATTCACGCGATAACTTTTTACATCACTGAATATCTCCATTCAATCAACACTCATCTTTCAATTTTGTTTTAACAGATGTATATTTTTATAATTGATTTCACTGGATTTTCTTTCTTCTAATAATGAAACCTACCTCTTTTCGACATCTTGCCTTGTTCAGAAAGAACTATAAATGATTTTCACGGCGAACTAAGACTGACGTAGTCGTACCAACTTTACTCCGGAAGTATGTTTAATTGGTAAGAAAGCCAGAAAAATTGAATGTAATATACACGAAATATTTAATTTTTATTGTATTATTAATATATGTCGCTATCAACAAATGAAATATTTCATAAATCATAAAATGATTAGATTTCTTACAATGAAAATATAAATATAAATGTAAATTTTATCATGTACATAATCTAGGGAGATTAAATTTTTATACTGGTATATATAAAATAAAAATTTAACATGATCTACGTAGTATAAGTTAGCGGGGAAATTTAAATCTTACATATATATTGCATTCCTAATATTTGATTTATATTTAAAATAATAGATATTCACACACAAAATAAAAATCTTAGCAACTATAATTATAACTAAAGAAAATGAACTTGTAATTACACTATTTTAATATACATTTTGCTTTGTGTTTATTATTTTCTTAACATGAATATAAATCAATAATTGTTTGGTATAAAAAAATGCATTAAAAAAAAAGAAGTTAGGAGACAAATTTTTTTTAAAAATGTTAAAACTGTTAAAAACGTTAAGCAATCATTCTAACTGATAATACTCAGATAATAAGCGTCTTTTTAGGATAAAAAGTAATAAAAAAAGTAAGTCTAGTTTATTTCTTACTTATGAATTTATGTTCGTATATCCGGGTCAATGAAATAGATTGCACTTGTGGAAGGTCATTTGAATTTACAGTTACAAAAGACCAGTTGTATTAAACAATTTGATCGATTCATCAGGTTTTATTCAAGATGAAGTGGTTATTATTTAGCAGTGCATTTTTAATATACAGTTCCATTATTTTGTGTCAGGATATTGTATTTCCAAATGATGAAGAATTAACTCATGTCAGTGGAAATAAACCAATGGTATGTAAAATGTATTCTACAAAAAATTCGTTATATTGCTAGATAAAAATTATTTATTACTTTTTGTGTTCAGATAACAGAGCGTATTCCTGTGTCAATACCAGGTCATTGTCCTGAGAACATGCTCCTTTATCCTAGTGATGGAAACAAGCTTACTTGGGTGTGCGATTGTAGGCCAAGATTTTTGTACTTTCCTTTAAATGATACATGTTATGAAGCTTATAAACAAGGACCTTGTCCTCCACAACATTATGTCATTCTTCCTGAAGGAGAAGCGGTTCCACAATGCGTTAAGAATCCATGTTTGGAAGATGGTTTAGTTAAATACAATAATGTATGTTATCCTCTTAGAACAATTGGTGGTCCTTGTGCGCCTGCTGTTATAGGTGTTAATGCTACTAATTTTAAACTGGAATGTATACCGACCGATATTGCACCTTTTATTATAATAAATGTCCCTGACCGAGGAGGTTGTCCTCCAGGCAGTCGTAGAACCACTTTTGGTGTATGTAAACCAAAAGTTTGAGCTGTATTTTGTATAATTTATTTAATTTTAAATATTTAACTAATGCGTAAGAATAAAAATATTGAACAAAATAACTTTATTGTAAGAAGGTAAAAGGTATTTAATAAATAACTGTGAATTTTATAATATATGTATTATGTGAGCTGTTCACTGCACAAATCGATTAATTCCACTTTCTAAAAAATCTTAAATTTAAGTATAAAAGCACTTGATATAGTCATAACTTTTTATATTTATACAAATTTTCCCAAACATAAGAGATTAACACCATTAAACGACAATATTTTTTTTAGCCACTAAATAATAAATAATTTATTTCAGAGGTCATTTTTTGATTAACTCCATATTATAATGGAAATCGTTGCAGTAATGCAACTCAAATGCACTAGCAAGTGCTTTTTTTTCTATAAAATTTATTTGAATTCACATTATAAAAGGAATTTTAAAAATCAATGCACATTATTTCATCGCATTTCCTCACTTTTTGTTTTATAGAGTTAATCAATTTGTGCAGTGAACGGCTCATGTATGTAAAATAAAGATATTTTATAATCTTCTTAATTCTTTAACACATAAATTTCTTTGAAATTTATATTTATGTAATATTGAAAGAAAACCAGTCAATTTTATAATGAATGTAAAATATGCAAATACACAAATATTTGATTGTTCAGTGTTTGACAAAAAAAATGAATAAGTTGAAAAAATAATTTCATTTTAAATATAAAAAATTACATGAATCATTTGTTTATTATCTCTTTAATTGTTTCTTTGTGTGAGTAGGTTTACTACTAATTACAAATTAATCAAATGACATATCTAAAGTTCATGGTATGTACCAACATTATCGATGACTGTTCCATTGTTCGTGACGGTCACTAAAGAAAAAAAAAATACTTGACTAACGTTGTACATCCTAGTTCTTTATTTGGAATTTTTTTTTATGATTGAAAATAAATAAGTAAAAATTAAAAGCACAAAAATTATTTAAAAAAATACTAATAATACAATAAATAATTTATGTTTGTATGTCATTTACAATATGTTTCGCGTATATGTGTGTGTTTGATGCATTTGAACAATATCGATAGAAAATGGCGGTTAATATCCATCACGTATAAAATGATCTAATAACCCTCTATAGTTCCGGATAATTTAAAAATGTAGAAGTAAATCTATAATTTTTGAAAATTCGTATTTCAAAATTGATATTTATTGATATAACATTGCATACTTTCTTTTATAATCACGAAAAACATTTAGATCCAAGGAAGGTAATTTAAATTCTCAAATTTCGATTCGAGATAAATCGTACCAACCACTAAAACAATTTTGGTTATTTTAAGAACGTATGAAGAGTTATCTTGAAGAGTATATAGCTTTCAATTATATAAGGTGCACTTAAACAATACTTTTTTATTCTTATGTGTTTAGTACTTGATAAAAAATTATCATCTGCTGGTAATTTGCATAATTTAAAGAAATAGAATAGATAATTTATGTTTTTTTTTTTAAATAAAAAAAGATCGATTAAAAAACTTTCAAACGTCATTCGCGTATTCTTAGAGAATTTGCATCGATTAAGTTGTACGCATTGATAAATGAGTGGAGTTTCATTCATTCCGTTTCATATCCGATAAGCTAAATTTTATTCGCAAGCCCTTTACTTTCAGATTGTTCTCAACTTAATTGGTCGAATGTTTCGCGGGATATATGTAGAATAGGAGCTATTAGAGTAAATAAGAGTAAATAACTGTCGAAGTTTTAGTAACGAGTAAAGCGTAAGAAAATAGGAAAGATTTTTTTACAATGGAGAAAGGCATCTCGTGTTTCGATACGCCTTGAAAATCAATTCATACTTGCGCATTGAAATCTAATAGATTTGCGAATGAAAAAAAGGAAAGAAAAAAAACACGTCATATAATCAAAAAGTATAGTTGAAGTTTTCAAGGTGTTACTTTTACTTTCGTCTGGGCATCACTGCCAAAGGCATTGGACTCAACGTCGTGGCATGTTCAAACGTCGCACTAAAGATCCAAAGGTTGAGAACCTTCCTTTTTTGCACATTTGTTCTTACAACTATATTTCAAAAAATCGTTTTCTCTTTTTAAGTTGAAATATTGGCTGATATTATTTATTATGTTTATTTTCGTTCATAACTTTAAAATCTTCCAATTGAATATTTATTATTAAATTATTTTATTATGATAAATGATGCTAATTGTATACGTACTACATGTATTTAAAAAAAAAAATTTCAAATTTATTGTAATATACTGATCTTATTGATTTGCTTAGTTGGTTTGCAATTTCAAATGATATGATTTGATCTAAACTTAATTGTATTTAGCGTGCACATTGTTGAGAAGTTTTGTTTGTACAAAAAATATATTTTTGATATTGTCGGAATAAAATATCAACATGTTCTATGATATATTTACAGACAATTTTGGATTACTAAAGATTCGAGATCTGCAAAACGATGAATTCGAGTTGTTTCAATTTATCTCCTAATATGGACAGAATGTGTAGAATATGTCTAACCGAAAGTAACAATTTAATATCTATTTTCTGCGCTAATCAAGAGGTAGATAATTATCCAGCACTTCCACAAAAAATTCAAGTATGTGGTTCAATCGATATTCATGAGCAAGATGGATTGCCATCTTTGATCTGCGAAGATTGCATTTATAAAGCAAATATTGCTCACGAGTTTAGACAACTATGCCAACATTCCAATGCTAGACTACGATTGTATTATAATAATCCAGGAAAATGCAATGTTATGGTAAATCAAATATATATATAAAAACAATGTTTTTTTTATATAATTAATATTTAAGATTTATTACTGATCAAAAATATTTCTAATCTTTGCAGGATTCATGTACGCAAACTGATCTCTCTCCATGCATTGAACTACCGAAACAAATAACGAATACGCAAGACAATTCTTTTGTTAAACAAGAAATGCAAATAGTATCTAATTCTCAAGATTTTAATAATTCTAATAATACTTATACTACAAATACACCTAGTCTCGCCCCTACTGAAATTGATATGCAAGACGATAAAATTTTCATGAGTTCTATCAGCTTTGAAGGTTCTAAAGTGATTGGTAAAGAAGAATGTTCTATAGAAAGCAATATCAATCAAAGTTCAGCGATTGAATCTGCTTCACAAATAGATACGTGTGATATCTATGGAATAATGGATGTTGATGACAAGCCTCAAATGGAGGAGCATAGTATTACTAAAGAATCAGAAAAAAATTCTAAACCAGAAGAAGAAGAAGAAGAAGAAGAAGAAGAAGAAGAAGAAGAGGAAGAAGGAGAAGAAGAGGAAGAAGAAGAAATAGAAGAACAACAATTTCCAACTGAACGTATGTCTGATGATACAGGAACAGAAAAGGAAGCACCTCCGCAAAAACGTACGTCAAGTAGGAAAACAAAATCAATGTCAAACAAATCTTACAGCGAAGACGAAGGTGATGATAATTATTATGATCCGAGTAGTGACAGTCAAGATTCGGAAGAATTGAAATTCAAATGTAAAATTTGTTTGAAACGTTATGCGACGCAGAAAGGTTTGAAAAAACATTCTCTTGTTCATGAAAAGAAACACAAATGTAGTATTTGTTTGAAACTATTTTATAAACAGGAAAATATGGAAAAACATAAAAAGATACACGCGTCTAAACCTCACGCTTGCCAATTGTGCCATGCGTGTTTTTCTAAATCTCAAAGCCTTATACGCCATTTAAAGTCTCATACGGAAAAAGTGAATGATATGATTAAGCAGATAAATACAGATGAACGAAAAGAAACTACGAAAAAAGAACTAAAATGCGAGGATGATACTGAAGATGAAAGTGTTACAGTAAACGAACCAGACGAATTTGAAAATGCTCCTGAATTATATAAATGTGAAATCTGCGATCAGTACTGTTCTTCGTTAAAAAATTTAAAAAGACATGCTCTCATACATGGGGATAAAAAATATTCTTGCACAGTATGTAAAAAGTGGTTCTTCAGACCGGACACATTAAAAAAACACGCCGAAAAGCATGGGCATGGATTATTAGATAATTTAGTAGATGATAACAAACTATTTGATTCGGACGACGATGCTTTTCCAAATGATACAACAAATACTTTACCAGAAAATGAAACTATTAAAAAAGAAGATAGCGAAGAAGATGGATCTGGTGAATACAAGTGCCAACATTGCGACAAAATCATGGCTACTAAGAAAGGTCTTAGGCGTCACGTGTCCATGCACAAGCCTAAAGCTGAACCAGTAACTTGTGAAATTTGTAAAAAAGTCTGTGCTAGTCAAGCTCGTCTTGTTCTTCATCAAAGGACACATAAACCCAAGGAAAAAGTGCCACGAGAATATTTATGTCATATTTGTAGTAAGGTATATCCGAGTAATTCGTCGCTTACATACCATATGAGAACTCATTCAGGAGTGAAACCACATGTTTGCAAAACATGTAACAGTGGATTTACAACAACTACCAGTTTGGCAAATCATATTCGTATTCATACAGGGGACAAACCTTATGTATGTCATGTTTGTAGTGCAGCATTTGCTGTGAGTTCTGCGTTTAGGAGACATTTGACACGACATACGGGTGAAGCAAATTATCTCTGTAAAACGTGCGGCAAAGCTTTCAAGCGGCTTAGTACTCTGAAAGAACATACTTATACTCATTCTGGTGAAAAACCTTATGTTTGTAAGACTTGCGGCGCTGCATATAGTCACAGTGGTAGTTTATTCGCGCATCAGAAACGTTGTCGTGTCCAATATGGTGAAATGGTTGCAGATGAACATCATCATGCTGTTGCGCATCATATTCATGTAAATAATGTGCAATCTACGGTGAGATCGCTTACTGTGATAGGGCAGTTATATTGAAGAGTCAAATCAGTTATATGAAATACACCTATTTTACTTGAAATATTTATATGAGAATAAATTTGTGACTTTTGTGCTGCAATGAAAATAACACTAATATTCTTTCTATGAACAAATATTATAAATGATGTATTATGAAGGATATTCTTGAGTGTAAATATTTAGACAGCTCTTTTTTTATTATTTAAATATCTGTTTAAATATTTCCATCGTATATAAAAAATACTTGACTAATGTTCTGTTATAGAAAGTACATTATCTAATATGTTAGATTAATATTCATATTATACACATTTTTTTGTGTGTATTTGTTTAATATAAATTGCACGTATATTTTTACAAAATTGTTCGTATGAATTTAATGATCCACAAATTACTAATTTGATCTATTACAAGAAAAACGGCATAATATAAGAAATATATTCTATGAATTTTTAACATGAATTAATAACATTATTTTCATTCTTGCAAATATGCATATTAGGGGAAGAGACTGATTATTATTCATCTAGACTTTAGATGCCTCCAAAATTGTAAATATTTGAAGCATTAAGAATGATTATTTTGTATATCATAACTTAAATAGAAATATTCCTTTTCATTTTAGCTTTTTTCATGTTGTTTCAGTATTTCAAATAAGTAAACAGATGTGTATACAAAAACATTAAAATATTTTTAAAACCAAGATAACAAAAAGCCAAAAAAAATTACAAATTTAGTAAAATAAAATGTTTTATATGATATAAAAGAAAAAAAACATAATCTTTGCTAAATATTGCGTATAATAAATTAGAACTTTTTAATTGCTTTGTACAAATAAAAATCTTGGCAAAAATAATGTTGAACATTGTAATAAAAAAATGTGGTTTGCATTTTCTATGAAAGATACATTTTATAATGCATGCTATGTTTCATAATTGCACATAAAATATATAACACTCATAATTTCAACACATCATTCATTTGTAATTAATTGTAAAGTAAATAATTTAATTAATTTACAAGTTTTAAACACCTATGATTAATTATTATATATATATATGTTTAAAATTAACTTTTTTTATCAATAGTGAAAACAAACCATTATGTAAATAAAATTGTGTGATATTAATGACGATAACGAGACAAGTTGTTAGATGAACAACAAAAGATATTTAGTTTTTCTTTATCTATGCATTAATGATTTATTAAAATATAGAACATTCAATTTGAAATGCGTAGTATTATTTTTTTAAAATAATACTCTACAAACAGTTAAACTTAACGAAGTTAATCTATCTGTTAAGAGAAACAGATACATGTAATTGTGATTGTTAAGTTCTAAAGTATATACAATGTATATTATTTGAAAAGAAAATATTTGATACTATCAATAAAAGACAGATAAACTTTTTTTCACAAAAGTACTGGAGTATTGTTCGTTTTATTATTTTACAAAATTGGAGGTAGAAACATTGTTAAGTCACTTCTAATTTTATCAATCGGATTCACTTTCATCTTTACGTTTATTTTTTAATAATTGATAATGACGCCAAACGGACGCCCTGCTTCTATTTAAGACCTTTGCTAAATCAACGAATTTTCGTTTTTCGTCAATGTATTGTTTCTGATCCATATAATTCAATATAATTTCATTCTCTTCTTGTGTATATCTAATTAAAAAAATATTTTGGCTATATTATTTATTTTACATTAATAAATACTGAATACGTTGATGACATCGGTAAGAAGAATTATATTACCTTTTATTTACATGTGAGCTGTATAAAGTTTTAAACCTATGGTATATGCTGAATAATGTACGATTTGGTAGACCATTTGCTAAAAATTGTACAAACTTTTTCAGTTCCTTCTTCTTACATATATATCTCTTGCCATTGCTAACTTTCAGACTTAAAAATGCTCTAGAATTTCGTTCATTCCAATCGTGTAACTAAATTATATTAGAAAAATTATATGATAAGTTAAATAATCCATTTGATATATTATTGACATATTCTATCAACATTCACATACTCGTTTCTCACCTTACAAAATTGTTTCCAATTATGAACAATTGTATCATCCTCCTGTGACGAAAAGCAACCTTTCTTTAACCCTGTTATAGCCTTAAATCGTTCCAATTCTTCGCGACTAGGTGAATGAGTTCCTGAACGTACTTCAATTTTGTGTTGCAGTGGTACTTCATGTATTAATTTTACTTTTAACTTACTTAATTTCTAAATAAATAATAAAATTATCAAAAAAAAGGATTTATAATAATAAATAACACATTTTGATAAAATAAAATATATTACAATTGATTCCTCTTTAGAAGTTGCTTCCTTTTCTCTTATTTTTCTCGCTAGAAATGTGATGTCATCGTATTTATTATTAACAATTTCTTTCTTTATATCAATATTATTGCAAGATATGCTTTCTATTGGGTCCGTGATGTCATTGCTGTTTGTTTCTTTCTTATAATTATTATCGACAATTTCTGTCTTTATATCAATTTCATCGCTAAGCATGCTT